ATATATTGTTTTTTAAATAATAAAAATAAAAAACACTTTGAATTTCAGGCTGTGCGCAGGGCCCCGCCAAGACAATGGTAGGGGAAACACTGTATTATATACAATCTTTGGACAATGCTACAATAATTCGGCCTCCATGAACAAAAAACAGCCCAAAATTAATAATAGAGAGCAAACATTGGAAAATTTCTCAGTCACACTTTGTTTTTTGTATTCCTTAGACTTGACTTACGAGTTCGTCCAGAGAGAGGGCCTGAGGGACCCAATCCTCTTTGAGAAGCCTGATGGACTGGGAATCAAGTAGGTCTTCCTCTTTACTTCTTCATCTTTTTTTTAAACTTGCTTGTTTGTTCTTGTCTATTGAGGAGAGACACGAGACCTGTTGAGTAACTCATGTTGTTCTGTAGGATGCCTGATCCCGACTTCAGTGTCAATGATGTCAAGATGTTTGTTGGTAAGACTTCATTAATACACTTTTCTTACTTTACAATAAACTACTACATGTATTGAGTTCAGTCATTGAATAATAACATCCATGTGAGTGGAAAGATTGAAACAAATATTAGATTATAATTTCAGTAATGCACTGACTGAATGATGAGAATGATTCTATTAATGTAATGAATCTATGAAAGATTTCAAATGATTGAAATGACTGATGTATTTTCTCTGACTAACCTTGAATATATCCCAAACTATCAAGTGTTAGATTTACACGGAAATAAGTGGATCATCACATTCGAGAACCTGGATATCTTTTTTAGGGTTGAACTAAACACCTGTTCATCAGCCAGTCACGACATGAACAATTCACTTAGTTAACTTGCCTGTGAGGCTAGAGAAATGGCACACAATAGTTTTTAATAAAGTACTAACTTTGCTAAACTGCCTGTAATTCCAGTGGAAACAAACCAGTGGCCACCTCTTGATGTACAAAAGGTTTCAAACAAGGTTTTGGATATAATGCCCTCTGCTTTTTACAAAATACAAATACAATATTTTGTTTAATTGAAGTATTACATCGTTCTTGCATCAAAGTATTTATTAAAAACCATGACTTCAAATGTGTTTTATCAGTTGCTGTTTGACATGATTTTTTTGGCATGCTGGGAATAACCATTGCCCTAAATCCCTCTCAGGCAGCAGACGTATGATTGATGTGATGGACGTGAGCACTCAGAAAGGGACGGAGATGTCGATGGCCCAGTGGACACGCTACTACGAGACCCCCCCGTCTCAGAGAGAGAAGCTCTATAATGTCATCAGCCTGGAGTTCAGCCACACAAAGCTGGAGAACCTGGTCAGGAGACCCACCACGGTATGTTCATACACTTACCATATGTGTGTATTCTGCACACCTCATGCAAGCACTTACCTTTTTACTCATCTAATATGGATAAAGAATCAAGCATTCAGCTGTCTTTGTCATACAGAGAGTAAACTGTCTGCAGAGTGAAAGACGCTGCATTGTATATTTATTCAGAGAGAGGAGAAAGGGGGGGGCTCAAGCTTGGCCATAATGAAAGGAGCATTCTGGCAGTAAGAGAGGCAGTATCAGGAAGCTCTCAGTTTAACAGGAGTCCGTACTGTTAGTGCACATAGAGTGTAACTAACAACATTGTAACAAATATTCTTAATAAGGACATTTCCAAAGCTAAGCAAAGATGTGAAAGCCAGTAAATAGAGATACACATTACAAATCACTAAGTGATATTGAAAGTGAGTGAGTAAAATACTTTCCTGTTACTACAGTGAATTTGTAAATATTAGTACGTTTGATCTGTCTGTTATGTCAGAGAAATGTTACCATGTGTCTGTCCTGTGTTTGTGTGTGCAGGTAGATTTGATAGACTGGGTGGACAACATGTGGCCCCGTCACCTGAAGGAGAGACAGAGAGACTCAACCAACTCTATCACTGACATGCAGTACCCCAAGGTCCAGAAGTAAGCCTACCAGGTCCACTTTGCAGAGCATCATAAACCACACAGGAAAAACGAGTACAAAATCAAACCACTTATGTATCATATTTCTTTATGGAAACATTGCTGTTGTGTGTGTCTCTGCAGATACTGTCTCATGAGTGTGGAGGGCTGCTACACTGACTTTCACATTGACTTTGGAGGGACCTCAGTGTGGTACCACATCCTCCGAGGAAGCAAGGTGGGGCCAGAGGGGGGTCAGCCACTGTCTTACAGCCTCAAATGTTCTAAATCAAGATTATCAAAGTGAGGACTTTAAACTTAAAAACTTGAAGGCTGTTCTTGTTTTTGGAAACGAAGCGTTAGATAAATAGTTTGAAATGTACAGAAAGAACGTCTAGAATTGGGGGTCTCGTCTGAAATGACTTCTGCTTCCTCAGTAAGTGGCCTCGTGGTTAGAACTGCAGCTGTGTGTTTCAGGTGTTCTGGCTGATCCCTCCCACCCCTCAGAACCTAGAACTCTATGAGAACTGGGTGCTGTCCGGGAAGCAGGGAGACATTTTCCTGGGAGACCGAGCATCTGACTGTCAGAGGGTTGAACTGAAGCAGGGCTGCACCTTCATCATCCCCTCAGGTAAACTCTCCCAGAGAGCTTTTACCCCGTTGAGCTTCTGTTTCGATATTCAAAGCTCTTTCGGAGGTGGAGGTCACTTATGTTGCTCACACAACAGATACACATCCTTTGTATTCTCCCTCACACATTTATTGAGCCTTATTTGCATTTCTGTTGCATTTAGTGACATATATATATATATGATGATATAAAATCTCTAAATCATACAAAGTGTGCATCTCTTTCCCAATGAAGAAAAAACGAAGTTATCGGGTCGAGCCCGACTTTGACTCTCCTAACACACACAGAATGATTTCGTGTGTGTGTGTGTGTGTGTGTGTGTGTGTGTGTGTGTGTGTGTGTGTGTGTGTGTGTGTGTGTGTGTGTGTGTGTGTGTGTGTGTGTGTGTGTGTGTGTGTGTGTGTGTGTGTGTGTGTGTGTGTGTGTGTGTGTGTGTGTGTGTGTGTGTGTGTGTGTGTGTCAGGTTGGATTCATGCTGTGTACACCCCTGTGGACACCATGGTGTTTGGAGGAAACTTCCTGCACAGCTTCAACATCCCCTCGCAGCTCAACATCTGTAACATAGAGGACAGAACGCGGGTAGGTGAAAACCCTCTCCACAAAGTGGAAAGACAGAAAGTGAATGCTTGTTTAAGCCTGTTGCCTCTTTCACCTCAGGTTCCATTGAAGTTCCGCTACCCCTTCTTCTATGAGATGTGCTGGTACGTGTTGGAGCGCTACGTCTTCAGCCTGACCAAAACCTCCTACCTCACACCAGAGTTCCAGAAGCACACGCTGGGCATTGGTATGCACACATGCAAACAGATGGGGGAGATGTGTAGAGACACCCGTTTGTGTGAATTGGTTGTAAATAGTGTGTAACTCCTTCTGTCAGGTCTGAAGAAGCCGGCCAGCTCGGATCCAGCCATCGAGCAGCTGAAGGAGGAGGGGGAAGAGAGGGATGAGGGAAGCAGTGATGAAGAGTTGGACGTTAAACTTCATCTGACTCCCCTTGAGCTGGAGGGGATGTGGAACCTGCTGGGTAAACTGGAGGCTCTGCCCTCCAACAAGAAGTGTCTCCCCGCAGGCATACACAACGCCCCGGCACTCATCACACACATCAAGGTATGACTGGTGCGTTTGAGTTACTCTGCTGTGGGGGTCTTGCTGATATTTAATGGTGTCCTTTGGATGGCTTTCCTCTGCTGTGCCCCCCCCCACCCCCCCTGCTGTGCTGCAGGCTCTGCTGAAGGAACACGCCAGTGACAACCCCAAACTATCCTACTCCGGGAAGCCCATCGTCAAGTGGCCAAAGAGAGTAAGCGGCCTTCACTTTTTAGACACAGCACATCAGCAATGATGCTTTGAGTGTATCCTAAAGCTCTAAGATGAATGGTTATAAATATGTCTGTAAATAATGTATCTGTGTTTTAAATAAAACAATACCTGGATGAGGTGTTTGGCTGTGTTGATTAGTCCAATATTTACAGTTGTATCAGAAAAAAAACCATTTATGAATATTTGATGTTCTGTATTTATGAAGAACAGTCGTATTGATTGTCCAACAGAAAAATGCCTGGCTGTTATCGTTGGTTTACCTCTGCCATTAACTTTGTTCTGCTCCTCTCCACCAGCCCTCCTGGTACCAGCCTCCTCCTCCTCCTCCACCTCCTCCTCGCCCTAAACTGGCCTCTACCCCCATCACCCCCCGACCACAGAAGCCAGCCTCCTCCATGTCTGTGCTGAGGCGCCGCAGAGTCAGGTGTGTGTTCTGTCACATCAAATGAATATGTGCTTGGATGTTGATGTTTTTACACCAAATGAGTTCAGTGACTGAGGCAAATAAAGCCTTGCAAGTTGATTGCAGTTTAGTTTGTGGTATACCAGTCACAATTAAGTGATCCTATTCCAGTAGTTTGAAGCCAACACCATTTGTATAGCCTTTTAAGCCTTTTATAGTTAATATAATTGTGAAAGTATGGATTGAAGCGATGATCATTGCTGTTCTGTTTCCCTCCTCTCAGGTGTAAGCGCTGTGAGGCCTGTATGAGACCCGAGTGTGGAGACTGTAACTTCTGCAGAGACATGAAGAAGTTTGGAGGACCAGGGAAACTCAAGCAGACCTGTGTGCTTCGGCAGTGTCTCTCTGTAAATCACTCCTATATATTTATTCATTAATTTTTTTAATATAAGTTGGATATATCTGTTTTTTTAACTTCCCCTCGCCCCTCCAGCCGGGCCTTCCTCTGTCTGCAGTGTGTGAGATCTGCAAAGAGCCCAATCAGGAGGAGACTGGAGACCCCTCCCTCACTCTGATGGAATGTTCCAACTGTGCACAGATAGTCCATCCTGCCTGCCTCACGGTATAATGCGACCACACAACCATTTATGACTTTCTTTATTATACAGAACACTGTCCCCCGTGTATTCTGAGTGGAACATCTACACATCCTACAATGGAGCAAAATCATTTGGACATGCCATTTTTTGACTGTCCTGCACACACACAAAATACAAATGTTTCTTTTTATTTATTCTTTTTAAGATATTTTCCTGCATTGCCAATAGAGGTATAGGTAGAATCATATTTAAAAAAGTAATTGTTTCATTTTGGTATTACCGTAATATAACACCATCAACATGTACAGTCAAATAAATAATGAATTATGTATTCTGGCTCACCACACATGTCTTTAGCACTACTAAAGGCCAAAGCTCCACAGGAAGCTTTCATCTATTACATCTGAGACCCACAACTTTATTAAAGTACTTGCCTGCTGCTGCTGCAGCTGTGTTTAATAGGAAGGAATACATACATCTAGTATAGGTCCTATTACAGTGATAACACTCATCATCTAGATATCAGTTTGGTTTTAGTCGTGTTTATTAATACCTATTTTATTTATTTTCATCCATCCATTTACTTCTAATATGTGCATCTGCAGGTTCAAGGTGAGGGGGTGGTGAACAAAGACCTGCCCAGCTGCTGGGAGTGTCCAAAGTGTGTCCAAGGAATCACTGACCCAGAGGTACACAATGTCTTATCAACACACACACACACACACACACACACACACACACACACACACACACACACACACACACACACACGGTTGCTTTATTTTCTGTTTTCTTGTTGATTTAATGAAACACCGTCAGTCATCAGGCAGCGATGAACCGTTGGCTGCAGGCCACCAGCAGCACATACGGCCCCCTGGTCCTCAGACTGGGCCCCGGGCCCTCTGCTACCATAGGGGGTCCTGTGGGCACCCAGCAGGATGGGGAGGTGATTCGCTGTGGGTTCTTCCCTCCTCCTCTTCCTTCCTGCTCTTCCTCCTCCTCACTTCTATTGGTGGCGGCCCCTCTGCCTTCTCAGCCAATCAGCTCGAGACTGGTGAGAGGTGCCGCCTACTCTGAGTTCATCCACCCCTCTTTCCAGTGCACCCTCACTCATCTGTCATCCCACCTTTTCAGGAGAAAAGACACAACTTTTGATGTAAATTTTCCTATAAATGATCCTCTCACAGAGAATGATTTAATATTAAATAATACTGTTCCACGGTTTGTATAAGAGTAGTGCCTCTTCTCTCTGACTTGTAGCTGTTTTCATTTTGGAGCGGTCTCCAACTCAGATTTTCTTTTGTGCTGTTTTCCCTTCTCAACACTTTCTAAATGATTTATCTCATGGTCAGCCTGTTTGTTTGTTTGTTTAAGACAATCAACGTTTGACTAAACCACCATTTTCTTTAGGTTGGACACACAGACACCTAGCCCTACATTGCACTGGTGCTCCAAACGTTCTTCTGCCACACACTACTTTTGTACATGTTGATGATCAGTTTGTGTTAAGGTTGGAATGTTAATTTGGGGGTAGAACAGGGCATGGTTTTCACACACACACACACACACACACACACACCTACCTTAGTTTCTTCCCCATCTGCATTCACCAGAGAAGAATATAAAGACAGAGCCTGGGGGTCTTTACAGAATGTTGGTGGGAAAAATCCCAGTGAAACACAGAGCTGCAGATGTCAGGCTGCCGGTGCCAGCACAGAACACTGTTGGTCCCCGTGCCTGACCTCCTTCACTCAGTGTGAAGCACCGGAGGACCTGAAGCTGTGACTGCTCACTTCTCTGTACATCACTGCAGTCACCCACTGAATGACATTCTGACAGTTCTTAATGGGAGAAGGCTTTTGTGTAATAGTGGCTTCAATGACTCCGGTCAAGTTCCTAAGCAAACAATTCCTAAACATTCCTGACTGACCACAATGCTGTTTTAAGGAGTCAAAGCGATGTGGAGGGGGAGGTCAGGCAGGTGGTTGGTGTGACGGAGGAAGATGCAGAGGAAAGGAAGAGATGGAAATAAATTATTAAAACAAAAAGTATTCGGCCATAGATTTAATTGAAGGCTTGTTCTGTGTTTTTAATGAACCACTTTCAGAAGCTTTTCCACTCTGACAGAAACTCAAATGTGATGATGGAAATGATAAAAATGTGTTATTGAACATCGGAAGGTTCTGCAATAAACGAATGATCAGCCTTTTACTTTCAGCTAAAACAGACAAAAGACCTATAGAAACAAAATATCATTTACAAAGTAAAAATGAAACCTTGTTTATAAGACTAAGGAGATTTGACGCTTTCTGTCAGCTCTGAAGAAACTTCTGATATTGACATGTTTTCCTTTCCCTCCAGCAGTCTAAAGGAGACACGGGGGAAGGCCTTCCAGCGGTGAGTGTTTATTGTGGGGTCTCCACTTCAACATGTATGTTTCTCTTGATAAGGTTTCCAACCATTTCCCTTCTATGTCATCATTCTGTTCTTCTACGCACGAAATTCTTTAATTTGATTCCGCCCGTTATTTTGCCGGTCTTCTTCTCCCGCATTGAACATCGCAGAAACTCTGTTCATTACATTACATTACATTGCATTTAGCTGACGCTTTTATCCAAAGCGACTTACAATAAGTGCATTCGACCAGGAAGATACAACCTTGAAGAAAACAGAATCATATAAGTACATCAGGTTTCATAGAGCCAAACATTTCAAGTGCTACTCAACTGGCTTTAGAAAACCAGCCCTTTATTAGTATATAAGTGCTTTGTTAGTAATTCAATCGCTCAAAGTGGAGTCTAAAGAGATGAGTTTTCAGTTTGGCCGGAAGATGTGTAAGCTTTCTGCTGCCCTGATTTCAATGGGGAGCTCATTCTACCATTTTGGAGCCAGGATAGCAAACCCACGTGTTTTTGCTGACGGGAACTTGGGTCCCCCTCGCAGTGCGGGTGCAGCGAGCTGTTTGGCCGATGCAGAGCGGAGTGCACCTGCTTGGGTGTACGGTTTAACCATGTCCTGGATGTAGGAAGGGCCAGATCCATTCGCAGCATGGTACGCAAGTACCAGTGTCTTGAAGTGGATTCTAGCAGTTACTGGAAGCCAGTGAAGGGAGCGGAGGAGTGGTGTGGTGTGGGAGAATTTAGGAAGGTTGAAGACCAGACGAGCAGCTGCATTCTGGATGAGCTGCAGAGGTCGGATGGCACATGCAGGTAGACCAGCCAGGAGGGAGTTGCAGTAGTCTAGGCGTGAGATGACGAGGGCCTGGACCAGAACCTGTGCTGATGTCTGGGTCAGCTGGGGACGTATCCTCCTGATGTTGTAAAGCGTGTATCTGCAGCAGCGGGTTGTTGCAGCAATGTTTGCAGTGAAGGACAGTTTGTTATCTAGGACCACACCCAGATTCCTTGCAGTCTGAGTCGGGGAAACAACAGAGGTGCCGATGTTGATTGTTAGGCAAGAGTGGGACAATCTTTTCCCGGAAGGAAAAGCAGTTCATTCTTGTCAAGGTCGATATCTTTACTTGACCTCAGATGTTCCGTCAAGGTCCCGTAAAAATTGTTGCTAGAGCACAGAAGACAAATTGACTGAAGCCTTAGCGTTGTTAACATATGCCTTCTCTTTACACAACTAACGTAATCGAGAAAAAAAAACAATATCATGCCTCTGTGGCCTGAAACTATACCCATATGGTGGTAGAAGCACACAGTTTACAAGCACCAAAACGACTGCGGATTACCGCAAAACGAGCCAGATTTCAGTTGAGCTGAGAAGGTCATAGCCTGTTTGGACAGTAGCCCAGAGTCTGAAATCTGCATAAGCCAACAACCCTCAGCACCAACACCTGCTCCATCACTTTGAACAGCTATTCGCCCGATAATCTACCACTGAAGATATAATGGAGGCGAGCGTGTGCTGAAAGGTACGCCAGTGACATACCAACAATATCTTTGTTTTCTCCTCTGCATGGCTGCTGGCAAAATAGCATAAACAATTCATTATGAACCGTCCATCCTGTTAGAATAACAATTCTTCATTACAAGAGTTTTTTCTCTCTCTTGCCAAAAAATCTTCAAACATGCCAATGCTTAAAGGAGACCTATTATGCAAAATGCACTTTTGTACGTCTTTTATACATGAATATGTGTCCCCGGTGTTCCAGGGATCTCACTAAGTGTCAGAAAACACAACCCTCTCTCTTTTCCTCCATACCCAAATCTCTAAAAACGGGGCTGCAACGGATCTGATACAGACTGATCCAGATTTGAATTATTTTCTACGTCACAGAAGTGGTGCTCCGCTTAGTGGTCAACTCTCCACCTATCAGGGGAATGTGGGGTTGGGCCACGGCCGGCCATTGCCGCTCAAAAGCGCTGGAGACGCTGTAGTACATATGCCAGGCCTGTAAGTGTAGTACATATGCCAGCGCTGTAGTCTGCCACAAAAGCAGCAAAGAAGACTTCCCGCGCATGGTTGCCATGGTTGCCCTTCTGTTTATTCTCCGCTGTGGCTCTTTTTCTCCCTCCCCGAGGCAAGCGTTTGCTCCTGTAACTCAATGCAATCCCTCCCCGTCGAGGCAAGCACTGTAATTCCAGCAGAGTTTCAGTTAGATTAACATGTCCGTTAAAGTTTAAATCTTCCGGACAAAATTAGAAAAGTGCCGGTCAAAGGTCTTCTTTATTATTTATTGAGTGAATAATGACTCTATATAATCATATAAGAATAAAACACGGAGGACGGAGATCTCTTTTTCTCCCCCTCGTCTCCCCGCTGCAGCCTAGCAGCTGATCTCAAAGCTGCAGCTCACAGAATCAGCCCCCTGCAAAAAAAGGGCTGGAAAGAGCAAATAGAGCTAAATGAGGCATGGCTAAAATGCAGGATCTGTTTGGTATTTTGAAAAAAAATAAAATGTATATACTTTATATAGGTATGGCCCTACAATATATTGTTCAAATATAGCATGATATGTCCCATTTAAGGTATTATTAAGGTAGGGTTAATGTTGCTCTCAAAGTGCACCAGATTGATGCTTTTAACTTCAATATTTAAAAAAAAATCCGGACCCCAGAGGAGGCGACGACCCCCCTAAAGGATGTTTGGTCCACCCCCACTTGTAAAAAAATAGCACTTTACCCCTGCACCGTGGGTTAAAGTATAAGCAGACACTTTAATGCACCAGCAGCAATCTAGCTATGCATGTCATAAATGACTCATTTTGACTGTGAAATTAGTCAAAACCATACAGTCTATGGTTAGAAAGCTGCAGCTCAAGCCAAAACAATTTGAGCCAGTGGCACAACATTGACGGGAATTGAATACCCACCAGTCATGTAGCATAACAAAACTTAAGATCACCCTGAAAGTTTATGCCATTCATATTAACAAATGTGTGAAACAACTATACCTATCAATTATTCACTCCAGTCCAACTGGTAGAGTTTTTGTTACAGAAAGCCACAATACATCATAACCATAGAATGCAGTTAAAGACTCTTGTGGAAACAAGACTACCCCAGGTTTCCTGGCCTTGTTTTCTGTGGTTCTTATTTTATTATCTTGTTCCACTGAACTGGGCAATTTAGCCTATTATTTTAATATCAAGTGTCAGTGCAGCCCTATAATGCTGCCATTCAAATAATTCATCCAGTTTATTTGAACATTTAAGCATAGAGTGATGCTTATTTGACATCACATGTTGCCAAGAAGTGTCATTTACTGATCAGAAAGTGAAAATATATTTGACAATTATTTTAGGTATAAAACACTGGATATGTTGGCTGCAACATGCTGCCTAAAATAACTGTTGTAAAAGGCTTCAAGAACATTTCAGAAAAGTACATAGCAGGCCAATTTGGTAGTTTATTAGTCATTTGGCTCCCTTATGGTCTCACTTTCTGTAAAAGCCACAGACAGTGGTAACACTATGGGAGGCTGGTCCACAGCTGTGCCACTCCATGAATATATTCCTCCCTTTGGGTGCATTTTTTAACAGTCAGGACAAGAGCTATAGCAGTGCTCAGGATTGGGCAGAGCGTATATCTGGAGACCTGCAGGAATAGGAGACTAGTGATAAATTAATTTTATTACCAGCCATCGGAGACTAAAGCAATTTATTGTATTTTAATCTACAACTCGGCTTCTGTGACTTTTGTGAATAAGCTATTTCCACATGCACCGATAGTAGCAAAGAAAAACAAAAGATTATTGAACTCTCAAGAGAATTTACAAGAGGAAGAAGTCTTTTTAAACATCTGGTTTGTAAATTATCATAACAGAAACGTGTACACCTTAAATTTCATAAAAGTGGCCTAGCATTTAATCAAGACAGCTTCTATAAGTAACACTAGTAATGAAATGTAAGAGACGTGTTTAAGTCACAAGCCATATCATTTTGAGATATGTATTTGTATGTATATTTTTATTAAACTATACTCTGGTTCAAAAGAAACAATAGTTTGAGGTGTATTTGTTGATCTCTAGCTCCCCCTGGAGGGTTAAAGGTGCACACACGCCAGATATTCCTCCAGATGGCATTCACATATAGTTTACTGCAGTCATGTGAATTCCATTCATGCCAGACACATTTTGGCCATATATTGGATGCCTTGTTCAACACGTTGTAAACAAGACTACTTAAGGATGGTTGGATACTAGTTGTTTGTCTAAGGTCATTTTAGTTAGCATGCACATAGACAAGTGAATAAATCATCAACTAGAGACACACACAAGACAAATCAGAGCCAAATGAGCGTCTTTATTTTACAAACGCATTATTCTATTGACATTTTTTATATAATAAAAAAGCAATTTACAAGCTTAAGAACCAAAACAAAGCAGCACAGAATGATGAGTAAAATATATAATTTGAATAAATATATTTTATTTCATGCTATAAAATAAAATTCATAAATGGCAATAGATACATCAGCTCTAGCTAGCTTAATTTACTTCATAGTTGTACAAAACAGTAGAGTTCTGAGGTTCACAGTTGGGTTGTGAGGTTGTGTGTAGAGTGGACAAAACAGGAGTTGGGGCATGTCTGTAATAATGCTTCGCTACGTGGTCTCCAGCGCTCCTCGAGCTTCAGCTCTGTGGAAAATATGGGCTCGTTGAGGCAGAATGTTTGGGAACCACTGACTGAGGACTTGTTTCCCCACCTGAAGCGAAGTGCACAATTCTACTATGGACACACATATGTCCAATGAGACCACTTTTAACATGATATACCCTGAGTTCTAAGTTCTTTTTTGCCTTGTCTCCTAATACATATGAGCCAGAGACATTGCAGTGTAGAGTTTAGGGAGTTGTAAAGGGAGAAGGAACAATAGATTGACTTGAAATCCTCCCCCTTGTCCTAATCAACCACAGCTAGTGTCAGATCCCGAGGATCTGAAGGAGACCCCTGAACCTCGTCACGATGACAGACAGCCCCCACCCAAACAGTGGCTTTACAGCCCAAAATCCCTTTCATTATTTAACACAGCTGGAGGTGCAACTCTGAACAGTGCCACTAGTTTGATAACCATGCACTCGTTTCTTGTGTTGCAGTTCACTGTCTACCACTGGCTTTTGATTCATAACACCAGCCAGCAACGTCGCTTTTTCATTTAAATATATTTTTTCTGAAGAGGAAAGTCAACCCGTCCAACATTTCAGAAAATATATATATTAAAAATGATCAATCAATATCAAATCGCCCTGGTCTTACTTCAATTCACTAAGCCTCCTGACATTCAGTCTGTTTGATATACGACAGGTCAATATTTCAATAGGCTTGATGATCCCAATACACCGCTTTTAAAAAGGTTATTGCTTTTTCTTATGATACACAGTAGACAGAAACTGACAGAAAAGCTATGGAAGACTTAAGATTTTTTTCTAAGCCTGTATCAGTGTTTGTAAACTACCTGAAGTGAGTTTATTATAAAAAGAATAGGACGAGCTGCAATTTCAAAAAGTAGTCTGACAGCCTTCCCTGTAAACACTTCCTTTTGATTACTTGTGGCCCATAATGCATCTCCTGCTCCTCTCCGAGGTGTGGAGTTGATTTGAGTGGATGTCAAGTTCAGTTGGTTTTGTAAGTGTGTATCACATTTAGTAACTAGTTCATGAAAAAGCAATACAACTATTTCCCCTCCATTCACCTATGATGATTATAAGGACTCGTTTAAAAAAAATAATAATAATAATAATAATCTGACTAAAGCACCATTTAAGAGGGAAATGGTCCCTGGCAAAGTGATTGAGGGCATTATAGCTCATCCCTTAAAAGAAAATACAGAAATAAACTAGACTTCCCGGATGGAATTGGTATTGACTATAAAAAACAAAACTGTAAGTGCACAATTGATGACACAAATACATGTAAAAACAATGATCCATTGGCAATTTCATACAATTGTGTGGTTGAGCAACGTGCAATTCAGCTACAGTATATAAGGGAAAGCTTCTCTTTTTCTCCTCCACTGCTAAATCCCAAAGCAGCTGTTCCCTTGCCAGATGCTCCGAGTGAACAGAGAGGAAGTAGACGTGTGTGTGTGTCACGCATCTCCTTCCTTCATTGAAATGCCAAAATACAGTACATTGTTAAGATTGTCCAGAGTGGTCAGAGAGGAAGGATACAGTGAGGTCTCTGAACACTGGGAAGTGGCTTGTAGGGAACAACACTGCTTCTTTTCATTGCAATTCAATGCTACTAAAGAAGATTAACCATCAAATCAGTTTGATTTAAACTATAATATAAAGAGCCAGATCAGGGCAAAGGACTTGAGCTGGAAAACAACTGGACAAATGTGAAATGAATTCATTTGTATTCATTCTTAGTACCACTATAGATTAATGCTGTGGCCATATTCTATCATTGCTCTATTCAATCCATTAGAAAAGGAAAGAGGCACAGGAATCTAAATGCCAGCATCCTCAAAGTAAAGCTTGTGGCAAGGCACTAAGTTAAAGATGCCACTTTTTGTGTTTTGTTTACATTGGCTTTAAACAATTACAATACCTATTGCACAACTGTTATCTTGTCAGCTTTTGTATGGCTTAATATATTGTGTTATTTATGACTTTGCTGCTTAATGTCTTCTTAGCAAGTTGTTCAAATTGTACACAAGTGATTGTTATAAGCTGGGAAACGTGCATTCCTTGCAAATAGCAATGGACTAGTCCTACATTAAATTAAGAACTTCTTAATATGAGCATTCAATTATGTGATACAGTCAGCATTTTAAAGTTACAAATCACCCATTAGTCTTTGGTGTGAACTCTTGGCACAAAATTATTTTAGCATTTTGTACCTTTTACTCACAAAGCATTACTGACAAGGAGGTTTGAACATTTCCAACTCTGTCCTTCCTAGGTGAGGTGTATTCGTCGTAGGCAGATTCAAACAGGTCACTGACTGATCTTTAGTGAGGTCAGATCAGCTGTTCAACCTGCACGTCAGCGGCCGACAGATAAACACTCCGCTCAGTAAACATTCGTCTAAAAGGACTGTACAGGTGGACAGACTGTGGGTGTGATGAACTAAAGTGTTTGTGACGAAGCCTGGCACACAAAGACAACGAAAAGCTAGCTATACCGACTTTTGCCAAATCCCCTACATTATGGTTCACTATCTCGACTGTCAACGAGAAGACAATGACCGCACACTCACCAGAATAAAAAAAAAAAGACTGCACGCTTGACGTCAGACATGAGAAACAAAACTCAATATTCTCCCACCAACCGAACATAGACAATTATATGTAAACTGTGAGAGAAAAAACCCAAACGCAATTAATTGAATCAAATTCAGCATGGACTGGATTGGACAAAATAAAAGCAAATAGCAGGTGCTCTTCAATACATGTATTTTAACAGCTGGATGGTAAAAAGGAAAAGCATGATAGCACAAAAGTGACCACCCAGCTGAGCTTTAAATGTCCTAAATATAACAGGATAATCAATCAGGCCTTCTAAGTGCCTTTTGTATGCATTAACTGTAAAATACAGATGACTTAAATCAGAATGGAAATAAAACCCATGTCCCGATCCCCATGGCTCAAACTGTATATAATATATAGCCATATGCATGACTTGTAGACGTTAGTATTCATGTGATTGCAGAATCTCAATACAGATCACAATATATGTACGTATAGGCAGAAGCACTGCTGTCAATCTAGTCCTACCCTGCAGCATCAGAATGAAGACAGAAGCTAGCACGTTTTCTCAATGGCACAACCCCCGCCCCTCCCCCCATCTCTGCAAAGTGCATCATACTTTGGATCACCAGCTACTTCTAAATACATTAAATCTTAGCCTTAATCTAGCTGTGCCACATCGATGTCAAACACCATAAAGTAGGGTAGACAAATGAGGAAAACTTGTTGCAGTTCCACATCTGACCCCGATCAATGCAGAGAAAAAAAGATCACAGATCAATTGTCCCATCGTAGAAAGTTGGGACAGAAGCAAAAATAAGAAAGGAAGCAAAGCAAGAGCTCTTTGAAATAATGGAAGAATAAACCATGTCAAAATGGCTGAGATTCCTTTGTTCTTTCTGTTTGCATATCATTCAGAAGAGTACTATGTTGATTTATGTGAACAGGCCAGAGCTGTTCCTACTGTGCTATAGAGTTGACAGTGAGAACTTTGAGTATTAACCTAGAAGCCTACCTCAGGACAAAACAATTTACACATACAATAATTCAGTAAAAGTCTGCCATCAGAGTATAGAGAAATAGAAATGACTTCACTGTGTGGACGTGTTTCACCCATTTCATGGATGACAGCATCTGAAACCACGAACGGGTGAGATCTGCAGTAGTGATGAGAGATACAATTCTTAAGTGTTTTGAAGAACAAACGTTACAAGACAGCAAACTCATATGTTGAAAATATGCAGGGCCATTTTCTTACTCTATTGTCTGCAGAAACAAACAAGAAAGCTAGCAAATGTACTGCTAACATAGCACCTTCTTAAACATCATTTCAACCTGGCTGAGCATGAAACAAGGACTTTGTCCCGTATCCATACAATCAGCAAGGAATATTTCACATAAGTATCAAGGCTTTGTGTCGAGAGAATATTCTGTACAGGGTTTGGCAATAAAGATACTGTACATACAACCTAAAAACGGATTTCAAACGGTGAACACGTCTGTGCCTGGTAGGTTCTTGGCTATGAGGTAGAACCTGGTGAGCTCATTAAGTTAGAATACTGTCTGTTATGAGTATGTAGTTGTATCATGAGGTATTGAACGGATATGTCACAAGAAGCTTTGCACTGGCAGAAAAATCATTCCTTGTGAGTAAGTGACCTCCTGTGGCCACATGTGCAAAAACAGGTCAGGTAAAAAGGTGATATGACAAGCATCTTACCAGAGCTTTCACATTATCAATTATTGCAACATGCCTATATAACTCTGTAAATATGTTTTAAAAAACATGGAAAGATAAAAAGATAAATCAATTAAGGGGTCTTGATTATTGGGACCTCCTCAAGAATAGTAAGTTGTCACTCCCTTTGCTTGAAAGAATCGGATTTCTATAAAGCAAGCATTTGCTCTCTGCATTCAACAATCTTACTTTCACAAATTGACAGAAACCCCTTGACGCAAGAAATGTCTATAGTAGAGGGAGCTGATTCAAAAAGAAAAAAAGTCCTTTAAGTTGAGTTAAGATAAACATTTCTTAAAGCTTCCTTAACCTGAAGCAGGACCTAAAAATCACATCTTGAGGCTTGAGCTTCCTCTGGACTGCATTTTGAACTCTCCTCCTCATTGGCCGGTGCCTCCTCTGCATATTGTGCCTCAAAGGCCATCCCCTCAGACGTCTCCTCCTGGTCCTTCTGACCTGAGCTTCCCTCGGTGGTCTCTGGAGAGTCTATATGGTTAGTCACCTCTGATGCTCCCATGTGCTTCTTCCTCAGGTGCTGGTTAAGGGTGCCCTGAAACGGGAAGCACTTGCCACAGATCTGACAGTGGAAGGGCTTGTTGTCTGTGTGGCCACGGATGTGGTACTCCAGCTGGTCTTTCCTTGTGTACTTCTTGCCGCAGAATTTACAAACGAAGGGGGTGATTCCCATGTGCAGGCGCATGTGGCGATCCAGGCTCCCTTTCTGGTTGAAGGTCTTACCACAGTAGATGCAAATAAGTCTCTCGTTGTAGGGGTACCACTGGCTCCGCAGGCTGCGCTCTCGCACGTCGTTCTCCAATCCCGTGGGTCCCACGACTGATTCGCTGTCTTCTGAGCCTGGTTTGATACGACTCAGCACTCCTGCCGGGATGCCCAGGGGCCGCTTCACTCTGGCTCGCCCACCTCTGTAGCCACTGAGTAAGGAGCGGGAGGGACTGGAGCTGCTGAGGTTGACGAAGCACGGGGTGGACTGCCCTGAGTAAGAATAGGCAGCCGACTGGATGACTGGACCATAAGATCCCACACTAACAGCCAGTACCTGCTCTCCGTCTACCAGCTCTGTGTGGTAGCCATCATCACCGGCTGAGGAACTATCTGAGTAAGTGGGTCTCTCGGTCTTCTCAATTTTCACGTGCACGTCGGTCACCTGCCCATCTTTGCCGATCAGTTCCACTTGCTCCATTTCTCCTTCCATGGGAGCATCGTGCTCTGACACACTATCACTGCTGCCTCGGTCCGACTGGCCTTCCTCCGGTTGCTGTCGGCCTCGTCTGTGGGTTTTTCCTGGCAGCTCAAAGCGCACTTCATGTCCTGCCTGACTCTGCCGAGAGTAGTAAGGGGGGGAGATCTGGGTAGGGTTTACAAAGAGGTTGCTGTCGTTGACCCCATTGCCGCTGGCCTGCGAGTCGCCCTTCCCTGGGCTGCAGACACTAACTGGGATGCTAATCTTGGAGTGGATGCTCTCCAGGATTTGGGTACACTTGTCAATGATGGCTTGCATCTGCAAAAAGCTGGCCGCAGTGAGGAAACTGATAATGTCCTTGAGCTGTAGGGACATGTGACCCGTGTAGCAGAATGCAAGAAGCTGCTCAAACACCTCAGGGTTTTTGATGACCGAGATGGAAAGGCCACTCATGGTGCTGAGAGCCGAGTGGTCACGGAAATAGGGTGAGCTCGCTGCCAGCACGGCCTTATGGGCTCGAAACGGCTGGCCCTGAATGTGGACGATGATGTCACACAGCTTCCCCTGCAGACGCAGCTGATTGAGCTGGTCCAGAACAGTGTTACTGAACTCCGGCACATCGAACTCGATGTAACTGCCGTCGTCCATTTCTTGGATATGTTTCTCCAGTTTGTCGGCTGCCTGATGGGAAAAGGAGAAAAAGAAAAGACAGAAAATTATTAGGTTTTTTTCAATTGCATTTACAATACACAGGAGAATTGTATAATTTTTTTTAACAACTTATTTAAGATGACAGTCTTATTTTATACATCAATGTATGAAACATTATATGCCATAAGAAACATCACTGAATGAATTGCAGCAAACATTGACTGCTGTATCATATCTTCCTGTTGACACAGCGTCAGCCTCTATAATCCTGTAGTGGGCAGTGGGCAGCCTCTATCGGTCAGGAGGCCCGGGGGAACACTACAGACATATTTAAAAGACATCCACAGGCACCATTATACATGTACTATACAGGAGGACTGCAAAATGTGTTGTTAAATATTGAGATCTTGGTTCAGGCAACTACGAATTATTATATCAGAAGGACAAAGATTGCGCCGTATTTGCGAAAATCATTTACTGGAATTACTTGTTACTCTGCTCCAACAGAGGGGACTGGAATCACCAGCAATGCAGCGCCAGTAAACCCAACGTGTTGAGGTCAGGGAACATTTCTCTCAGGGACGTGATCAGAAGTTGGCAAAACTCTGATTCCTGGTTTTCCATCATGAAGGTGAAGAGTACATGTTGTAGGCAAGTACTTGCTTTACCTGCTAGGAAAGCAAGTACTTGCCTGCAACATGCGCACTTTGAGCATGCACGAGAGAATGATTAGAGAAGATGCACTCCACTTTGTAGCTCTAAAACGCCCTGTGAATCACTTAAAGTTATGACGGTAGATCACTCTCCTAACATGTCATGATGACAGCATTCTTTGTTACTGTCTCTCATCAGAACCTTAACTCATTAAAGTCAATGCCAGTGTTTCCCACACACAGTATACTTGGATACATATTTCAGCATTTTTTTCATGCATCTAAGAAAACAACGGCATCAGCGATTGAAGAACTGGTGACACAGGAGGCTGTCTGGGAGCTGGGACATCCGCGCTCAAAGGCTCTCACTTTTTTTTACGCTGTTATTTTGTATATATTGATTACCGTGTTTTTTTTGTATCTTAATGTGTGCATATGTGTAAATGTGTCAGTTGATTGTGTATATAGGATATACATATTTTGATACATATCTATATATTGTATAATTGTATTCGAGATTGATGGAAACGTCATTTCGATCTCTCCGTCTGTACACACAAACTGAAAGATTGACATTAAAGTCACGCCAGCCGACTACTACCCTAACAGACACTGTTTCTCCTCCACTCTGTTGAGCTCGGTGAGATTAAGAGCAGGGGCCGAGGCCTGCACCGCCAAGTACCACACACCATAAACAACAGCAGAGAGCAGTATGAGACTGGTTATTGATGTTATTTACCTCATTTATGTGGACTCGTTTCATTTCAGCTCAGTGTGAGGTCTGCTGTCATGTATGGTGCTTCAAAGCGGGCAGAGCCCAGCCCTCGCCCAGAGGAGAAGGACAGCTCACACTCACAAACGCCACGGCAAGTGTAACAAAGGCCCTGCGAGCAAAGAGCCAATATATTTATGTAATCACCAGTAAATATATGTACAGACAACAAAATATTTCATTCAACAAAATACAGTTAATTCAGGTAACTCATGCATGCTGCAGTAAAGAAACCAACATTGGAAGAAAAAGATTACAGGTTTTTTTTTTAATGCTGTCAAAATTATCGCGTTAACGGTGGTAATTAATTTTTTGAATTAATTGCGTTAAAATATTTAACGTATTTAACGCATGTGCAGAATGGCTAGAAACGGTTTTGAAAACTTTTGTCAAGTAGTGATCGTCTTCTCAATAAAACATCTTTGATAATGTCTTCTGGCCAATCAGAATCAAGATAACGGCGTGGTGTTGTTGCAGGAAGTCCTGACGGAGAATACTTTTGCTGTACATCTCTATACATCGATACAACATTACGTGTTGATAGAAATCAACACGTAATGAAATAAGACCCCACGGTTTGATGATCGATAGGTGTGTGGGCTGTCTTTCATTTTGACACACAGAACAATGTTATAATAAACATAAGCCTACATACATACTGTATGTTAAATGGATATATCCGCCTTCTTTCATTTATCTTTCCATTCCCACAACAATATACATAAAAAAATTGCATATTAATTAATTAATTAGATTAATCATGATTAATTAATTTTTAAGCTGTGATTAATCTGATTAAAAATGTTAATCGTTTGACAGCCCTAGTTATACTTTAATATTTTTTTTATAAAAGATTAAAAAAAAAACATTAAATAACCCTATCCATGCAGATATGTTTTCCCAATGCAGTTATTTAATTGTGAAGCATAAACATTTAATTGATTTTAATAACTTTGAATGACCTCTGAGGTGTGCATTGTGCAGCTGGAAAAATCTGAGTTGGGCCTCAGTATCGTCAGAATGACTAAACGGTGGCATAACAACTTGATATGAAGATCCACAACTGAAACCAGTTGTCACTCTATTGGTTCATTTAATAAACACAAGATTGAAAGCACTCACCAGCTTTGACCAGCTACCAATACAACAAGGTCTATTTTAAAAAAAAAATTAAAATAATATTTAACCTGTTAAACCCCGAGCCTGTTTTTCAGGCTTCAGGCTAAAACAGGCTCGGGGTTTAACAGGTTAAATATTATTTTAATTTTTTTTTTAAAATAGACCTTGTTGTATTGGTAGCTGGTCAAAGCNACAAATCTTCTTCATGTCTCAATGTCACAGCGTCACCGTCTGACCTATATATACAGTGGACTTGCAATATGTATATATTAGGGCCGGGACTCGATTAAAAAAATTAATCTAATTAATTACAGGCTTTGTAATTAATTAATCGCAATTAATCGCATTTTTAATCGCATATAAATATTTGACCTGAGAACAGTGAGAAGCAATTTTTTTCACATGGATTTTAGTATACCATTGAATAATGACTGAATACATAAGCTTAAGCAACAAAACATTGTTTATTTTTTTCAAGGAGGTTCTTAACCAAGACCAACAGAAAAGTGCAATTTTTGCCATAAAGTGTAGCAATAGCATATTTAGGAATATAGTACATTTCAGAGATTCAGGTAGCCTATAGGTAGGTAGACCTTCTGTAAACTATAACACTTTGTTTTTTAAGTAAAACACAATACTTTCAAGTACATTCAGAACATTGGATACCCTGACTATTAGAAAACATCTCTCTGTTGCTTCAGAGGCCATAACAGACTTTGTTGATTTACCAACAGTTGATTTAAAAAATCTAATACATTTCAGTCCAACTCTCTCAATAACCTTGGCCAAAACAATAAACAGTTCAACATAAAGTGCCAGTTGCACCAACAAC